CACGGGGAGAGAGACAAGCCGAAAGGTGCAGATGCTTATATTATTTGGCTCGTTCATTGTGTCCCTTAATTTCGCGACTCTCTTTTATGCGCGTACATATTATACCTACCGTGTTTCCAAAGTGAGAGGCCTTTCTTTGTCGCTGCCATACTTTCCTTACTTTTCGGGTACAGCATGTATATATACATATAGATAGATGTATGGTTATGGGCCACGAAGAAGAAGGACGGGGGTAGGTAGGTAGTAGGTACACGAGGCGCGCCGTTATTGACTTGAGCTGGAATTTTCGTTTCGGCTTTTTATCGAGGTGCGTGTGTATAGGTGTGTTTGTGTGTACGTACTCCCTCGCCGTGCGTCTGCGTGTCTTTAATGCTGCCCCTTTGGCCCCGTGTAGAGCCCCTCGATAGACTCTCCCTCCTGGAGGACCTCACCCGACGTTGTACGGCTGAAAATGTACTTTCACTTTGGCTCGTCGTTTACATTTTTCCCTTTTTTTTTTTTTTTTTTTTTTTTGTTTCTACCCACGGCTTATTTTTTTGCCAATACAATTAAACAGTTAATTCGTGGCATCGACAAGAAAGAAAAAAACGAGCGAGCGGATTCGAAAAAAAATTTTTAATTAAATATTCAACCAAAGCCAAAGAGGGAGAGAGAGCGAGAACGAGCTTTTTGGCGTTTGTAGCGGAGAACGGAGCGAGAGCGGAGCGTTTTTTCGAGAAATTAATTAAAAAATACCTTCATAAGCCACACACGAGCAGCTTCTGCCGTAGGCCCACGAGTGCACGCGCGAAGAGGCTGAAACGTATATATGTAATTGTTCATTTTGTATAAAAATGCTCCCACTTCCGCTGAGAACAAAGACGTCAATTGCTCGGTTTCCTTCTCGCGTCTCTGTTGAGGTTTTTGTGCGCAGATATTAATATTAGCCTGACTTTTTGCGAAACTGACGTCCCTCGGTCCGCGTTAATTTTACAACCATATATGTACTCACTAATATCGTATCTTATATTATTACATCAATATCGAACGCATCTACCAAAGGCTTTGTAACGTTCATTGAAAAATGGCACAAATTATTAAAATTAACAATTAATTTTCCATCGATGTATACACTCTCCTGTGTATAATTATATTTAAATGTAAAACATTTCGTTCCATCCGGATACGATTTTACGTCGATGGTACTTTAAAGGTCCGATAATTAGCTGCTCACGCGATGGCGATGTTTATCAGGACGGCTCCGTCAATCGGATTATACCAACGTGCATATAGATGACGTACGCATCAGTTGGAGACTAATGGTGTAACCCTTTGACGTGTACTGTGTACATATATATTACATCACACACCTATATGTATCAGCCAAACATCAGTTATCGCAAGCAAATACATATAATGTGCGTGTATATTTATACGTGTGGGGTGGTTACGCATTTGCACTTTGATCAGATCCCGAGATCACGTCTACGCTGACCCACGCAGTCTTTGAATAAATTGGACAGGTGTACACAGCCTTCTCCGTACGCGTGTGTACCTGTTTTATAAATTACAGGTATATTTCACTTTGATCTGTATACGACAAGCTAACTTTATTCACATAGAGATGATTAATGAATAATTGACGCATATTTATGCACCCACGAAAAATTTCATCAAAATATATTGTGCAACATGTGTAAAACAATGGCCCCATCGTTCCATGTGAACAAATTCCAATGTATATACGTACGCGCGATCCAAGTCAATATTATACAGTATTATATCATATATATGGATGCTTAATGCGCTACCTTGCAACAACAGCTACAATAATGCACGTAATAACAATAATATAGCAACGATCGAAACATCAAAGCCATACAAAGTATATATATATATATACACTTTGAGGGCAATAAACACATTATGTGCACGCGAGTGCTTTGATATTTAATACACGCGTGCAGTATAAATATATGAACAGACATTTTGGGCATCGGTTATGTCATTAAATGAAAGGCAAGTCTCTCTCGCGGCCGGTGGGTGCACGGGCCAGGATAATCGATTAGCGTTAGATTAGATATACGCAGGGACACGTATAAGCGCGTGCATCGTCTCGTCGAGCGTAGCCAAATTGGTATGCGGACGTATCAAACGCTCGGCATCGTGCACCCCTGCATGTACATGTATACATCCTCCCCCCAGCCTCCTTCTCTCATCATCCCCCTCCCCCTGTCACGACATCGCTTCGGATCCTTCTCGTGGATATAATATCCCCTTGTACTGTAATACGCCGATTTAATCGTTCATTTTGGCTTGTCGTCTTCGTGTATATGTATACCTGTACGTGCCTCATCGTGTTAAGTACACTTAATTGTGTACATGTATATATGTATATATATATCTCATGGCTTAAACAAGGCAGGTTCTTGGTTGTGATAATGAGCTTTCGGTGCGTATACACACAAAAGCCTGCCATTCGGATTATTTGCAGGACCGCGACGCTCCTTTGTCGCATTTGCAAATATATATATTTTTGCGAATACATAACAATAACCAATTTCTATTAATTTTTATTATATTTATACATGGATTTTTAGCGAGTGACGTGTGTGTATATAGGCTGTGATCATCCTAGCGAAGATTGAAACATGTTGTACATCGGACAGAGCTTGTCAGTCGCGTTTTATCGTTACGACAGAGAGAGAGAGAGAGAGAGAGAGAGAGAGAGAGAGAGAAAAATTCTGCGAAAATTACGTGCTCAATCGAGACGAAAGGGTTGTGCAAGCGCGCGAGAACGAGAGAGGGGAATTCCAAGCGGTTCTCCGACAGACTGGAAAACGACATCATCCTTACGGAGCTGCGAGGCTCTATTTCCCCGCTCCCTCGGTAATTAGGTGCCAACTAACGACAAGGTTATTTAATTGGAACGAGATAACTGCTATATATATGTACGTATATACAGCTTATACACAGCGTATGGGTGTTCGTTATGGCATCGCCGAGTCTATTTTTCCTTTATTCTTTTTTTTTTCCCTCCCATCTCTCGGCGTGTTTGGTAGGGGTGAAGAAGACTTGGTTCCGCTGCAGCTTTGAGGCGGGAAATCGGATGACGATGTCGTGTAATGCGCCTTGTATTGTGGAAAACGAATGATTTGATTGCTTGAGACGATTTTGGTGGCGGATTCGGTGTGCTTTATGACAAATTGCTGTTTTTTGGTACGCAGTAGTTTGAGTCAATGTACGAGGCGACATTGTGATTTTCTTCGTTTTTTTTCGGTAAAAAGTAGTGCGAGTCAATGTACGGGGCGACAATGTGATTTTCTTCGTTTTTTTTCGGTAAAAAGGAGTACGAGTCAATGTAAGGGGCGACATTGTGATTTTCTTCGTTTTTTTTTCGGTAAAAAGTAGTGCGAGTCAATGTACAGGGCGACATTGTGATTTTCTTCGTTTTTTTCGGTAAAAAGTAGTGCGAGTCAATGTACGAGGCGACACATGGATTTTTTTTTTTTTTACTTATCGTTGTGCGGAGTTATGATGTACATAATGCGTAACAATGTAATTGTAAATGCGTGAAAACATACGGTACAATGAAAATTGGAAAATATCTTTTTTTTTTTTTTTTTACTCGAGGAAGGGTAAAAAGATCCCTGGGGAAAAATTAGGTAAAAAAAAAAAAAAATTCCAAATGATGAAAAACCCAGAGGCCAACTCGCAAATGAGAAAAAGAGGGTCGGAGGGGGAGGATATTATAACGGACTTGCCAAAATAAGCCCTACCGTTGTAACGACTGAGCTTTACAATCACGTAGCCGTGTGGTGTAGGACACACAAGAGGAGGCGTGTCCCGGGGCCAACTGAGCAGAGGAGAGGGAGGGGGGGGGGATAAGCCGTCGATGGCGTCGCGTCCCTTTGGCGAATCAGCGTCGAGGCTGCCTAAGAGCAGAGGGAGGTGGGGCGTAGCAAAAAAATATTGACCGGCCGGCCTCTCCGGTCCATTATACCAACGCTCATGTGGCCCGCAAGGGGGGTCAGTCCATACCGTAACGATGACCGTCAGCTATCGTGCGTACCTTTTGTCCACATACATACACCTGTACGGCGTGTAATGATTTCGATTTCGAAGGACTAATGAGCCTTCCCGGGAATGTTTGACCGGGGGGAGAGTTCGTTTTCGATGGTATACGCAAATTTTGGATCCCCAAAGACGAGCCATTTTTTTTGTTCCACCTCCTGGTTTGTTTGAGATTATTTTTATCGAAAATCACCCAGTTTTACTTAGCTCGTGAAAATAAAAAATACCCCCCTCGCAAATGCGACAGAAACGAAGAGAAAAGTGACAGTTTCAGTTCCGTCGCCAAAAAAAAAAAAAAAAAAAAAAAAATCATTATACTCCGATGTAGTGAGGAAGGAATAGGAAAAAAATAAACAGCTCATCGGCTGTCGCGTGGAAAAATATCTGACTGTCACGAAACAAGGCAGAATACACACACGCAAGGGGAGGGAATGACAAAACGAGCAGGGGCAAGGGGGCGGGCTGTGGTAACATTCAGGGGGGGGGAGAGAGAGAAAGAGTATGTACGTATACGGTAATACAGGGCGGAAGATGAGGGCATTATTGGTCCGGGGGGATTATTAGCGGGCGGACGCGACCGCGGCGGTGGCGTTTGACATCATTATTCGCGGCCACTGTATGAGCCGCCGCTCCCCCCCTCCCAACCCTTCCTCTCTCTAACTCACCCTTTGGGATGAAGATTTGAGAGAGCGCGGGCTGCAGTGCCTGGATCCACGGCACAGTGCGCGCTTACTGGTCCTTCCCTCGACATCGGGATGCCGAGAGATGAGCGACAAGGATTTTTTTCCATTTTTTCTTTTTGTTTATTTCAATCCACCCTTCACACGTGACGCACGTTTATCTACTCTGTGGACCAAGTGACTCTGCCGACTTGAACGACCGTTGTCTCGAGGTAGCGTACGGTTTGCCGATGCTCGTCGAGTAATTTTCGCGCCCATTTGCTTTGAAAAACTGTGATTTGTGATCGAGGGGACCGCGATCGGCAATCGATAGGACACACACCGCGGACAATGCGAAAGCCCAAAGTGCGCGTCGTAACTGGCTAACCGACCCCGCGAAGAGCAAAGATACAAAGTTTCGGTGTACGGTGTAGAGAGAGAGAGAGAGAGAGAGAGAGAGAGAGGATGGAGCCGAGCGATCCGACGGCAACGGAGGACCTGTCGGAGAGCGGCGAGAGCTCGAGCAGCTGTCACTCCGAGGCTGGACTGGCGAGCAGCTTCCAGCCCTACCGGAGAAGGGTCGAGGGGCCCGCGAGAGCCGAGGACGAGCCGACAGTCGCGCGCCCGAGGTTCGCCGACGGGCAGGACATGCCCATTGCCCTCGACAAACCCAAGGACTACGCCATCAACCGCAACGACGGTAAGTATACACGCATATGTACCAACCTCTGCACTTGTACGTGCGATACGTGATGTGTCGAAATGGATTGGCGCAGTGTACAGCGAGTCCTCGAGCGCCGAGGAGCCGGCGAGCGTGTACCGGGCGAGCAAGGACCACCGGCCGAGCGATGCTGGGCAGAAGGAGGCGATGTACAGCTTTTGCCGGGAGATCCGAGAGATGCGGCAAAAGAGCCTGCACGCGGCCCTCGAGCGGACGAGCAGCGGAGGAGGTAGAGACCTGGAGATCATCAAGAGCAGCTTCGGGCTGCCGCTCGAGCGCGCCAAGGATGGATTCGGTTTCGCCTCGAGGATGGCCCTCGACAGGCTGAGAGCCGCACCGAGTCACGGTCTCTCGCTTTCCTCTCCTCTATATGTTTGTATGAACAAACCAACTCTCGTGTTTAACGTTGTCGAATGTGTGTGGGTGTATACAGGCGAGGCGTCGGCGTCGGAGGAGCACCGTCAGTTCAAGGCGATGGCACAGCCGATGGCCCTTGACCGGCTGAGGCATGCCCACTCGTTGTTTCAGGCGTCAACGGCACCGGACTCCCGTTTTCCTCAACTGCACGTCCAACAGCCTGCCACGGCTGCCCATCCGCCACCACCCGCGGTCCAACACCATCACCTCGCCATCACCCAGATCACGCAGATGCAGCAGCAGCAGGTCGGCTACGTGCACCAGCAGCAACAGCACCATCATCATGACCACCAGCAGCAGCCAAAGTCGTTTACAATAGACGCCATACTCGGACTACGTGCTGTTGGCGCGCAGAGGGACAAGCACCACCATCAGCGCTACCACCCGTACAAGAAGCAGCAGCAACAACAACAACAACAACAACAACCGGGTACGTCTCGATGTGACTCTCCACGATGTCCGGTGATGAGCAAAAAAAAAAAGGAAACGATTTATATTATTCTTTACCACGTGTGTAGGGTCAGAGAGTACGGCCAAGTGTCTGACCGCGAGCTCTGGTTGTTCGAACGGGAGCAGCGGCGTGGACGGGGGTGGCAGGGCCGGTGGTAAGCTCAAGCGGGTGCGCACTATTTTCACGGCCGAGCAGCTGGAACGGCTCGAGGACGAATTTACGCGGCAGCAGTACATGGTGAGGAAAAAAAAAAAAATTTATGTATAAATCTAATGACGGTAGCATACATATACGCGTAGTATTCCCGCATTTCTGAGCCTATTGGGCACATTTTGCACAAATGGCCGTAAAATATTTTTAAAAAATGTCCTTTGTACTTGTGGTGATATTCTAAGATGTACGATAGTAATTCGTATATTGTCTTAAGTAAATATAAACATTAGATATTTTACAATCAAGAGCATAGAGAAAGAATTACGACTTAAATGCTTTTGTGTAAATGCAGTTTGATCTTAAAATATCTGTCTTAAAAATTCTATTCATTGCTGTTTCATTAGTTCAAAATTTTATTTGCTGTTCTGACGAGGTGGTTAATGTATTACAAAATTTTATTAGAAGAGGTTTATTTGTTTATTTAAAATATTACGCTAGCTTTTCCTAAACTTAATAGTTATCACCATATGGTTTTAACGCCCGTAAGTTTGTATTTCATCTATCGGGTCTAGTTATAATAACAGTGTTAATGATTTTAAAAAGTCTACTTTCGTACGAATTATTTAATCAATTCAGTTATAGCGTTGGACTGTATTAAATACAGTTGGATTAAATCCTGAAAGAGATTTCACGTTAGAGAATTGTAGCAGAAAACTAAGATACAACAACGAATTTATTCAAATCTTATTTGATAAATCATAAATCAAGAGCTACATGGATAATTGTTCGTAAGCACGCATAAAGCATTAATTGCTGGTAAAATAGAAAATTAATTTCTCACTTGGCACTTGTATCTAAGTTGTTGAAACTAGCACTTAAAATAAAATCGAGTAACGACTCTCTTTATCGTTCAGGCAGTGAAATAACCATTACGAGAGCGCATGCAAAACTGATTCTCAGTCAGTGCACACTCGCAGTGCAACACACATATCACACTCTCGAACGCTTGCGTACGTGCGATCTATTACCAATACCTGAGTGGCACCGGGTATATCCTCGATAGATGAGAAGATTAATATACACTGAATAATGTTAATAGGAAGTATATTAACGTTTATTGAAGTAAAGCTTATTATGGGACGTTCGGGATCTTGGCTTGGGCAGTAATTTTTTTAAAACTGACACAATTTTGCGACATGATCGTGTAGTCCCTCTCTCTTATCTCCAGTGGCTGTGAATTGTACCTATACATGTGCAGTACAGTATTGCTGCTGCTACTGCTGGCTGGCGAGCAGCTCGCCGAGCTGTCTTCTATACTATATATATAATACACTTACATTTAGAATCGAGCCGACGCATGCACACATGTATACGTATACATACAGAAACAGCTACTGCAGCTATCGCTTTATCATACTGATAAAAAGTATATACCAATACGGAAAGAAATCTGTAGCACAAATACTGAAATAAAATATCGTAATGTGTTGTCAAATGCATGCATGCACGGACAATCTCATATCAATGTATCCGTAGTATCTGTGTACTAAGATGTGTCGCCATGCAACGTCTGCTTGACCGTGTGGGAGCAGACTGAGCTTGGCTCAGCTATACTACTAAATATACATACAGTGGTTGCTCCTCACTACAAATGGATACTAAACTTTTGCTTACAGATTTCTCTCAATGTCTCTTCCGTTATCTGTAAATTCTTTTAATTTTATTATTATATACTTTTTTCAGCAAACAACGTTTACTCAAATAATTGACATTAAATTGTTGGATATTTGTTCCAGAAATGTGTGTGTGTGAGTGTGTGTGTGTGAGTGTGTGGGCACGTGCGTATGCTTTGGCATGTATATGTATGTGTGTATATACAGAGATTAATGGTACAATTAATATCGGATAATGTGTCGCTGTTACATATATGAGGCAGCTTCGTTTCTGTTAGGGGTTCCGAGGCCTCTCACTTTTAGTTTTTTTATGTTTTAGGCATATGTTTATTGTTTGTGGGCTGATGACGTTCATTAGCATGCAATGCTTACTCAGTGACTGGTTGGTAAGGCTTGTGTGCACAATTGTCCTGACTATAGCAGAGCTTATCAGCCACGTCAGAGTATCTGCTACACTATCTCCTCACCCATTATAAAATCCTATGTTATTAAGTGCCCTTTTTTTACTATTTGTACCTATCCTTAAAAAACTTATTGAATTACTGCATCAACTCAATTTCACGATACGTAATGTTGTCTAACTAGTTGAATTATAAGTTTTTAAGTTTGCTGAAACCAGCCCTAATGTGTATGTTACTTGAGCCACTTAAAAATAATTGTAATCTAAAAAAAATCTTGAATTTTAGAGTCTGTAAGGTAGAACATAAGACTGGACCATTTTTTTACTTACAGTTTGAGATAGTGATTCTTAGTAATTTTATCATTCATTTATTTTTACAAAACATTACAAAAAGTTAATCTTATAATGTGTTAGATTGTTAAAATGTAAATACAGTCATTTGTAATCAACGAACTACTCAAGTAGAGCGTAAATAAAAGGAAAATTTTCTTTTTATTTTATCAAAAAGTAAAAATTATTAATTTCAATAAATAATAGTTAAGAAAAAAAAAGAACAGTTAATGTAAGATTGTATCTAAACCAAATAAAAACAAATACCAAATAACCAACTTTGCTCACTAAAAAAAATTAAAGGGCTTGTTACACACAATGTTACTATCACATTCACATATGACAAAAGATTCCTCAACAATTGTTTTCCACAAATTGTATTATTAAATTTAGTACTTATGTAACTTTTTCCAACAGACCGTTAAAAGTGCATGTAACAGTACTGTACAAAAAGATATACCAGAGTACAAATTACAGATTAAAGTAAAACAATGCAAATGCATATGTCACCTGTTTTCAAGTGACATTTGAAATTTGATGGCCAACAATAAATTTATGTGTATACCTTTTAAAAACTGATTTCAAAATCTTTAACTCAATCCCTTTTCAACCCCCTAGTTAAGTGCATGCAGGAAGTTTTATGGTAGCTTTAGCAAAAGAGTAAAAGGTCCCGTGGTTAAGATAACTATATTTAAGGTAGTCTACCATTCACAGGCGTATGTACAATGCATCATCTGTTAGTGAATTAAAATTGCGCATAATATTTAAATGTAAAAAAGGCTTGTTATTACGTTCTGCTGAGATGTGGTAACAGTGTCGATCAGCTCGAGATCCTCATACATTTGCTATACACACACACTCACAAATGGCTGTATATGTGCAGCTGCTCTGTTGCCAAATATTTGGAACATTTACGTATGCAGTATACAATTTACATGACAATTGTTTAATGATTTACTACTTCGTATTTATACTGGTTACCCAATTGTAAACTTTTTAACGGTATACTTCTCAGAATTTTTTTAGTTACTTCAGAAACTCTTTTTGCCTGTACTTGAAAAGTGCCATTGTAACCTGTGTTAAAATTTCAAACTTACAACTTTATTATCTTAAAAACCAATGTAGTAGGGATATTTTTTTATAATTGATTCCGAAAAAAAAAGTTTAATCTATAACATACTTTTTTTCAGGAAAACCAAAGTAAAAAAGTGGTGGGTGATAAACTACCTTAACCTGAAAAGTAGATTAACTACATATCTAACTTGGTATCAAAAACTGGAGGCTCAAGCCATTCTTTTTATAATTTAAAGAACTTTCATAATCAAAACCAATTTTAAACAGCAAGAGATCTCTTGTACAGAAAAATCGCTTTATAGGATGTGGGGTCATTCAAAAGTATTTAGTCAGCAGTAACTGGCGTACAGAGCAAAGTTGCCTAAATTAAAACTTGTAAATGCATAAAATTTATTTGACTAAATGTTCTTAAACAAGGCCCGTTGCAAAATTTTTCGGTTTGAGCTCGTTTAGAACAATATTTTTGTAGCATAGGCTGTCACAGAAAGTATTTTAGTGTGAATAAATAACTGCTTAGCAACGACCTATTAACCAATAAGTTGTTTTCAACGTACTACGTACATATGAATATTCATAAGTGTGTAAGTATGAATATGTGTAGACTGCAACTCTAAAGTTACGCATTATTAAAAGAAGTTTAATAAGTGGAGTCTTAGAATTCCAACATATATGTTCCTAATATATAAAGCAAAGTCGCTAAAACCGTTGTGATCGCTAACCGCGAAAGCTACTGAACCGATTTTGCTAAAATTTTTCATACCGACTCTTGACACTTCCTAGATGGTTTGAGTATGGTTTTTATCTTGAAAAATTTAATAAAAATAGCAATAAATAATCTCAAAGTTTTGCAAAAATACACCAGATTTTCACTTTAGTTCAGTAGGATCCACTAGGTGGCCTCGACATAAAATTGAAGCTACCTGCAACGTAATTAAATAAGTGTGGTTATAATAGGCCAAAGCGTCGATAAAATTTCTGCAATCGTCTACTGGCGATTTATCGAGCTGCATCGAGAATGAAGATGATAGTCGTGCAGTCGGGTCTTCCTGTTACCGATAATGCTCTTTTCCAATGGGCAAGTGATCTAGGTATACTTTCACCCTTAACCTCCAGGATTGACGAGTGCCACCAATAAAAAATTTACTCTGACCGATGACGTCTCTGGCGGAATATCAGGAGACGTGACTAGCCAGAGCACATCCTGCTCCAACACTTCAGAGTTATAAGGTCGTATCACAATCTGGCCTGGTGCCGTCAGAGAATTTTTTTACTACAAATGTAAGCCAGGGAAGACAGCCCTAAAGAGTACGGGCAGCCACAACTGCCAATTTCTTAGTGGTCGTTTCAACGGCATACCTACAGAGAAGGTATTCTCTAGGCCCACTTTTTTCGACTAACGATGAGCAGTTGGTTATCAGGGGAACGACCTGAAGACGAGATATAATTCGGTCAGCAGCGTATCTTTCTCATGTACGGTCTCCATACACAGACTTCGAGGGTAAGAGTCAAGCTATCAACAGCTGGCTCTCCATCACCTAGAATAATAATGAAGAATAAGTAGAAATTTTACCACTGGCATTTTTTAGGGCCAATATAAGTATTTACGTTCATTACTTAACCTTCGATCTCATCGGTTCTTTTAAGGGCCACCTAAGTTTAAACTACTTTGCCAACAAATACATTTTTGCTATCGTTTCCGGAAACATTATTCATTGACTAAAAGAGTACGTAAAGCCGGCCACTATTAAACCAAGTCAGTTATTCACTGGCAGACGTCACAAGCAGAGTTGTTCTTTGCAAGGCTGGGAACCCCAGTGACCGATGACCCTATATTACCCTCTCGACTCTAAGCATTTAACAAGGAATCACCGATCCTTTTCAAGGTCTGTGATGGGTGAACCTAACAGCTATGTAGGAAGAAAAAACTTGAGCCAGTAGGAGTCCCCTACGAACAAGCATTACGAACCAATCTCTTCACCTTAGATTATCAAAACAACTGAGTCTGCAAAAAGAAGGTGCTTTAGGCACCAAAATTTTCGACGTTTTCCCAGGATACGTAGGGAAAGAACACTATAACTAGCTCCAAAGCTGTGGACTTTGTAATTTTTCTCCCGAATAGTCTGGATCTTCAACAGCAGGCCAGAGAAGATCATCTTGAGGTATTCAGGCAGTCGCAATTGCTGTAAGCTTTAGTCAAGAAAGAGTTTTACTTAAGAAGTTCACCGGTCTTTTTTACGGCAATTGGACGTCGAACTACCTTGTCAACAAATTTATTAGAACTTAACAAAGTTGACAGAAAATAGCCAATAGGGGTCACAAAAGTCGCAAGAGGATGAATCGCAAGAAAAACTTCAAATGTTTTTAATGAATACAATTTTAGGTGTCAAGAAACTGACGCAGAAAATTTATTTGGATTGGAACAGCAGCCTTAAAATCGACAAATTAAGAATCCTTTTCGTGAGAGATCAGCTTTTCATTTTACCCTCACAGTAACAGTAATCTCTTAAACCTTTAAAAATCTAAATTCAGGTTTTTAAATAAGAAGAAAATATATCTGTACTATGGTGGCAATAAAAAATGTAGAGATAAAGCTCCAGAACTTTGTTGCTCTGGTAATAAAGTTGTGAGATAAGAGAATAAAAAATTTTTTAGTATATGTTTTTTGGAGTTTAAAATCTTAACATCCTTAAAAAATAGCCCTTTTCGTAAATTACACGGGAAAAACTGCAAATTAACCGCTTCTTACAGCCAACGATTATTTTATGGCATAAGGAACGCACGGTACTTTTCAGCATAATCACATTTTTTTAATTTTTACAGCGTATTATTTGACTAAATAAAGTGTGCGGATTGCGAACAAATATGTTTTTAGTAAAAAGATTTTTGTTCTAAGAAGTGTCAGGAATAAATGTAAAATTTTTAACTGGAAACGCCTCACATTATATGTCAACACACTACTGTGTTCCATTTAGTAAGTCTCGGGCGAAGCCGTGACGGGGGGCCACTAGTATATACATTTGTACACTCAATGCATGGTATTAAAGCTGTGTGTTAAGCATGTGTATACATATGTATGTACAAGTGTATGTGAGGATATACTCATGTACGTGACTATATGTATATAAAACTGGCATGGAAGATGTAGTAACTTTTTTATTTTAATACAATTAACAACTATCCAAAAGTTTTGTATGATCGGCAAATCGATACATCTGCCCAATATGTATCAAATGGATTATTACTATAACTAAACTATAAAATATTTTAAAATGTATAGCAGTTCAGAAGGAAACGAGGTGGACAGGAAATAACAATTTTTTCATGGTCTTAAAACAGAAAAAAATAAGAGTTTCTAGCTGTGCTAAAATCAGTGTGAATCCAAAGATACAGAGAAAAAAAGTAAAGCACACGGGGATCTATAAGCGCAGTGTACATATATGAGTGTATATATATATACTAGTGAAGCTCCACCCCCTGTGAACTCTGCATGCGAACTATCCACTAATCTAACTTCAACAAAAAGTCTTTTCATTGAATATACGAAATAGAAGCATGTGAAACCTTACTACACTACATCACACCACTAACTCGCATACCTAGAGAAAAACAATTTTTAAGTTTCGATCTGTATTCTACACCTTATACCATGAAAAAAAAAAATTGCGCTCTTAGCAATTGAACCAGCAATCTTCTGCATACTACTTAAGCATCCTATCCTCTCTACAGTGAGTGACTTCTATAATAGATTCAACTCTTTATTCTAATTGTAGTGTGATTACCTAATCTTCTGAGGTATAAGTGTTATGAATCAATTATACATGAAAAATTCATGGTAAAACAAAAATCACAGTCTTACTATTGTAAATTTTTACTATTAATCTTCAAACAACAGACTACCATGAAGTGATTGGTGGACTAAAGTTTTTTATAAATAATTGTCTTATAACATATATACAAATCAATTATATTGAAACTTAATTTTGTTAAGAAAATTAAAGGAATTGTAGATATTTTATGATAGTTAAAAAAAATTTGTTTTAACAAAACGTTCAAGTATTAAATAAGAATACATCCTGTAATGTGTTATTATTTAATAATAAAATAGTCACGAAAAATGCACTTTCAAGTAAATGTAATAATTTATCTCTATATCGACGTGTGCGTGGAAGACTATTACAGCGTGACGTCATCCCATTTAAAATAACATGGAGTGACGTCACGCTGTGACAATCTTCCATGCACACGTCAAGTATGTAATAGACTTTTTAGTAGTAAATGTAAGTTCATTTTTGTTCAATTTCTTTCCAAACAATATTGTTAATTCACGAATTATCTTTTTCAACTAAAGTAAATAAATTACTTTAACTTTTATAACTTTATAAAGCTACGTATAATTTTGTCGGAGTCAAACGATATTCAATAAAATGTAGTGAAGAGGTGTTTACAGTTTTAAAGTCATTCTTAGGATCACAACTTAATGTCCATTTTTTTCTTTAGTTATTATTACTTTTTCCACGTTGCGTTCCAATAATTTAGTAATTTCTTATCAAGTACCTCAATACATAAACCGTCTGTTACACTTAAGTTTCTAACTAGCATTATTATGTTGTAAGTAATATTAAACCTTCCCGAAGACTATTCAACATATCTATTGGAAAATTGATATAAGTATAAATGTCTGTCTTATCAACCCCCTTATACATTTCGTTATATTTGGTGTAACAGGTTTGAGTCCCTCTAGTTAATTTTTAAAGGGATTTTTTATTTAAAAAACTAATATAATCATTATGTAATGTAACTATGACACTATTAACCTGATAACTATTCAAATGACGAAACAATTTTGATCATACACAATTTAGTATCCACTCTTTATTCTAAAAATAAATTTTGATTTGTAGTTTAAAAATTTAATATATCTATGAAAATAATACGTAACTCTTCACCTTAGATTATCAAAACAACTGAGTCTGCAAAAAGAAGGTGCTTTAGGCACCAAAATTTTCGACGTTTTCCCAGGATACGTAGGGAAAGAACACTATAACTAGCTCCAAAGCTGTGGACTTTGTAATTTTTCTCCCGAATAGTCTGGATCTTCAACAGCAGGCCAGAGAAGATCATCTTGAGG